ATTATATTAATATCAAAAATAAATTTTAAAAAATAAAATAAATAATTAAATATATTTTTAAATAAAAAATCCTTTAAAAATCAACATCTAACATTATTAACATTATTATAGACACTCTTTAGACCTTCTTAATTTATTATAATAGACTGCATAGTAGAGTAGCTTTTATGCAAAAAAATAATTTTTAGCTACTGAAAAACTATTTTAAAATATATATATATATATATATATATATATATAATTCAGGTTATAAATCCAACTAGATTAAATAAATTTATTTTATTTTATTTAAATAAAAAATATAATAAAAAATAATAGTAGATTAATTAAATTTAAAAAGAAAGATAATTATAATAACTTGAAAAAAGTTAATTAAATGAAATAAAATATGTATCTTAATTCACAGGTAAGATCAAAGAATAAAATGGAATAAAAAAATAACATAAAAAATTAATCCTAGCTGGCTCAAGTTAGGATTATGAACTTGTAATTTTAGTAATTGAGATCGAGTCAACTCAATATATTTTATTAAATTCAAGATTTAGATTATGAGATCGTGATAAAATGATAAAAAATAAAGAGAATTATAATGATTTTAAGAAAAAAAACATGTTAACTTTTCAAATATGTAATGCAGGTCACTAAACCCGAAACATCTTGTCAAGAAAAACTAAAAAGTTTAATTTATATTCAGTCAAGTATTGAAGGATGAAATTAAAAAAAATTATATTTATTCAAAATAATTAAAAAATAGCAAATAAAAGAATAAAATTAAAATTAAAATTAAAATTAAAATATAAAATAATTTTTTGTATTTGATTGAATGTTGGAATTGAAGAGAAAAATCAATTTAGCAAAAAACTCCAGAATCAAAACAATAAGGATTAAAATTGACATAAAAATAAATATAAAAATTATTAAATGGTGAAATTAAAAGGAATAATAACTTTTAAAAGATGATCAAGAAAAAAAAAATTAAAACAACGAGGATCAAATTAAAAAATAAAATATCATCAATTTAGACTGGATGATAAAATTGAAAACCAATAAGATTTTTACAAATCAAACAAGGAAAAAAATAGAAATCAAAAGCAAAATAACCAAATTAAAAATATATTAGTTGATAAAATTATGATTAAAAGATAAAATAAAAGATAAATAAAACCTTTATAAAAGAGCCAATAATAAAAAAAAGCAACCAACTAGACTACTAACATCGACACATACCATTCTACACGAAAAAGACATGATAATGCTATCAATAATATAATAAAATAATATTTTTTTTTGAATGTTGGGAGGCCTCGCACATGCAACTCAACTCAAGGTACATGAGTGCCTCCCAATATTGTATACATGTCAATCGTTTTATTTTTTTCTTGATTGATGTTATAATAATAAAAAAATATTATAAAAATATAAAAACTTGTAATGATAACAATTTTAATTTTTACTTTTAATATTATTTTAGTTGTTTTATCATGCAATCAAGAAATAAAAACAATTTATTTATTTAAAATTAAATTAATAATAATTAATAAATCTTATAAAAGATTTTAATACTCTTTATGAAGAATAAAAACATCACTATACTATTTTAGTAAACAATGCATTCGAGTATGAAATTATAATATCTTTCCAAGGCAAAATAGTTTTTTTTTAATATATAATTATTCTGGAATGAGTTAGGTTACTAACTTGTGGTTAATAGTTCTAGTGATGTTTAAAATAGCCGATTAATTGAGAAAATAAAAAAAATCGAACCGAAATGAAAAACTGATTAAACCAATTTGTCAAAACCATAAATTTTAACAAGTCCGATTCGGTTTCGGTTTTGAACCAATAACCGGAACAAACTGAACCAAACCCATTAAAAACCAAAAGTTTCATAAATATTTGAGATATAAATAGTTAAATTGTAACCTAACCCTAACAATTAACATAACTTTCATGTCTCTCACAAAAAGCCACCGCTCCCCCCTTAATCTTCCCTTTTCCAGTTTCCCAATCTTCCTCTCAGTTAATTTCTAATCTTCTTTTCTTGTTTCCCAATCTTCCTTTCCGTGGGGGGTTTGTTGAATGAGCTTTCAATGTCACATTTTTCAACTTCACATATACATCCAAAGAAAATTAATGTCCAGTGAAAATTAACAATTGTTTCTTTCCCTTGCTTCTATATATTTATAAGCCTTTCTAACTTTAAATTTTATAGTAGCTTATACTTGCTATGCATACTTCATAAGAGAAGAACAAAGCTACCACAAAGATAAAATCTTTGCGCATCTGTCACTTCTTGTATTTTTTTGTTTGTTTTTATCTTTCCTCCCTTTTCATTCTTAGTTGTCTTTCTTGTGGTAAGTATTGGTGGTAATGGTTGATATTGATGGGACTAATGACAATGGAAATCATGGAGGAGTTGTTTTGGATATATATTAAAAATAATTATCCTTCATCTGGCTCTATAAAGAAAGTTTTTGTCCTGAATTTATTTGTCTTTCATGCAAAAAGTGCTGTAAAATCTATCTGTTTTTTGTGCTTGTGTTTTCTCCTTACCATAAGAAAAATTTGGATAATGGGATTAGGTTTCCCGGTTTTTTGCCAAAAAAATTGGATTTAACCGAACCGGACCGGTTCGGTTTGAACCGGTTTTCGGTCCGGTCCGGTTTGAACCGGTTTTTGACCCGATTCGGTTAATATTTCATAAAATTAATGTAATTCAGTTTGGTTGATTTTTTAAATCTAAATCGAACTTAGTTAATACCAAAATAGAGCCCAGCTCCGTTTGCAAGGAGTCTGCGGAGCCCTCTTCCTGGTTTCAAAGCAGCATATATATATATATATATATTATATATATATATATATATATTTTTTTTAATTTTAGAAAAAAAAACATGGCCTCTCAATTTCCCTTTTAGAAAAAAAACATGGCCTCTCAATTTCCCTTGTTAAAAAAAATATCAAACCCAACAAATCAGATAAAATTAATTCAACACTTGACAACACATGGATTATTAGTTTTACAGGTCAAATATTCTACAACAATAATTCAAGATTTGACAATCAACTTTGAAGTCCAAAAACATTAATCGGTGTTGAAGCCACGCTGTTTGCAAGTTATAAGATAAGAGCGAGGGAAAGAGACAGCCAAGGAATTTCTTTGTTAACAAGCCGTTGCTTGTTTTAGCAAATCTGAAATGGATAATCTCCTGTCACTTATCTTTTCAAAACCAGGAAACCCCATTGATGACTTCTATGTAGACGCGACTCCTCCTCTCTCTCTCTCTCTCTCTCTCTCTCTTCCATGAGCAAGCGTAACGTGTATTCTATAAACTTCGTATAGAAATATATCTATAGTCTTTGTGGCTTTACACGATGCTCATAAGCGACGGCTGATGCAATACATTATCAAGAAACCCAGTACAGAATATGACAGCCACTAGACAGGAGGGGCAGGCCACTGTTCTCAATTATTGACCATTCCTGTTCATACAATGACAAGAGAGTTGTAGAGTAGATTAGAGACTAGGATTCTGGCTTCCCTTTCACTCGCGTGGCCTTGATAATGCTTCTTCTTTTTCCTTCTATTTTTGTCAACAAGCCTCCAGCACCATCCCGTGGCTTCCACCGGCCCGGCAAAAACATTTCTCTTTTCTTCATATAATTAGATAAAAAGAAATTGGACAGTTTTTTTCTTTAAAATATACTAGTATTGTGAGTGGATTAGGTAGAGTTTCTCTCTGGGACTCTTTATTCGGTCAGTTGATCACATTATTTATGAAAACAATAATGCTATGGATTAGATTTTATTTTCAATTTGTTGCCTGATCCTACTAACTTAACCTGGAAGAGTTTCCAGAAGAGAGCCTGGTCAACTCAGCGAGCCGTTCTTGCCCTCTCTTATTCCTGTACAACATCACCATAAAATCAATTATTTTATGAGCTTTGAGAATTGAATAGAGACACCGGATCCGATATGTGTTTTATATAGTATAATCACAGATAGTGGAAGCCTGTCTCATTAGGATATTAACTTTACTTTATATTTTAGTTTAATTTATACAAATATTTGGGTGTGATTTATTAATTATATTTTATTTGTTAGGTATTAAGATGTTGAATTTTTGCCTCTGTTTTAGTTTAGTTTATATAAATTTTTAATTGAAGTTTACTAACAAGAGTTTATTTGTTTAGATTTGATTTAATTATTATTGGATATTTTATTTACTTGTTCCGGTTAAAATTTTAGTATCATATCCTATTTTTTAAAATATCAAATAATTTTTTTTGATGAATAGAATAAAAATTACAGGCTTCTAAATTTTTTCAACCCCCATTCTTCTCCTTTTCTCACCTTTTTTTTTGCTTTTAATTCTTAAATTTTTTTCTCTTAAAACTTTTTTTTTTTGAGTTCATTATTCCGCTTGAGAATTCTTTATTTTAGCGTGCATAACTAGCCACTTTGTGACGAGAGATGTCCACGGTTTCTGCCCTCTGCAGGTGGGAGTAAAAGGAATTCTGAGGACTACTGTAATTGAATTGCCAATTCGCACTCTCCCCAGTTTCATCAACAACCTACAGGTGCGATGCATATAATGCTCATCCTTTTCTTGTCCCGGTGTCCTTGAAGAGGAGGAAGTTTCTGTCACGCCATGAAAGACGGTAGCAAGCTTTCAGAGTTTTCACCATCAACTTGAACATGAATTTTTCGAGAGTAAATTTTGAAAATCAACCACCCCTGCTCGCTTTCGCTGCTAAAGCAGGCAACAACTCGTATAATTCTGCAGATAAGCCCTCGTTGGTAACTCTGCGCAGAGAAGTTCCAAGCCATCTAAGCCTTAAGATTATGCGCGAGTAAACAGGCCTGAGGATCACACCAACCAAACTTTCGAGTCCAGTTCTTGCTATCAGAAATAGTAGGGCATCTTTCAGTTCGTGTTCTTGTATTTGGAGTTTAATCTCAAGTTTCAACCTAGCTCAACTACACTGGTACGGTAACCACCTTTGAACAGCAGAAGCTGCACATTAACTTCTACTAATAACCACATTACTTTAGTGTCACAGCAACCCTATCACTCACGCTACCACATTGAGACGCGTTTCAAACTCTAGAAGAGCATCCATACCCTCACGAGCCACAGCAGCCTTTGTCTTTAGTTGAATCCATTTCTTGCTACACAATGACATTTAATTTCATTCAACTTAGAAAAATAAAAAAGAAAAAAACCATCTAACTTTGTTTTCTCTGGCATTTGGCGGCCTTGAGTTGAGGTGTAGTTTCCACCTAGCACAGCTACCTCATTGCAGCTCCTCAAATAACAGAAGCCATATCCAAATGCAAGCTTTCTGCAGCAATCAATCCTCTATGGAAATCGGCATCTACGATACCTTTGAAGGGAAAAAAAAAAAAACCCTTAAGAGAAACAAATCCAGAGGCATGGTACACAGAAAAACACTAGTCATATTCATCTCAGCATCTGCAGAAAGAGAAGCAACTTTACCATTAAGCTCAGGTTACCATCATATCATAGTCGTACACAGTGGGTGATTGCACAATTATACTAGTGAGAGAGACAGAGGTCCTGACAAAATCTCAAAAACATCACAAGTTTCCAACTACAATCTCATCTCAAGTAACTTGGAAGAAATGATTTGTGATAAACAGAAACCAAACTATCAGTCAGTTTGCAATTTTTGGGATATCAAACAAATGAGATGAGAAGTGTAAGAGTGTCATTGTTGTTGTTTTTTAAAATATTTTTTTATCAAAAAAAATATTTTTTTAATATTTTTTTTTTATTTTTTAAAAATTATTTTTAAAATCAATACATTAAAATAATTTAAAAACATCAAAAATATATTAATTTAAAGAAAAAAATTCAAATTTTTCCGGAAGTGTTTTTTGAACGGACTGCCAAACGCCCTCTAAATACTGTATACTTATAGCAGTTGTACAATTGATAGTGAATGGTAGCGTCAGTAGAATTTCAAAATTGGCACAAAACATCTAAAGAAGAAGGTGCAAATACCATTACTAGGCGATGGTCATCCCCGTATAAATCAAAGAAGCAGTAAATAGAAATAGCAATGCAACTCCCAGTCTTCTAGTGCATTATTATCACAGCTAAACAAACAAGCTATAATACTCGATACAAACAAACAATATTCTAACATAACTAAAAAGTATAACACTCACTTCTCCAACTAGTCAGTGACCATTCATCGTCAACCCGTTTTTGATTCTGCCTTGGTGCCAGCTTTTGCCTCTGATTTCAATTCTGGTCGAGCTTCCATGGGCCTGGCACCACCTGAACAACACCCGCCACCATGGTGGTGGTGATGGTGGTGGTGACCGTGATGATGACTCTGCTTTCCCTTCAGCTGCTTCCTCATATCATATGCATCCTCCCCATCTGCATAATACTTTGCTTCCACATCATGAATCTTGTAGCCTAATGTTTCTGTATACAGATTGAAAGCTGCACGATTACTCTTCCTCACATGCAGCGACACATACTCTGCTCCAAATACCTGTTCCACAAAATCAATAAGAAACGTGCCCAAAATGTAAAACGCAAATTTTTGACTATATTAATATAAATCTAATCACTAAAGCTTGCCTTATATCTAAAATAAAAATCAAATATGATAACATGTCCTCTTAAAATTGATATAGTTCCATTAGATTCCAATAAATTACAGCCATTTTAATAACCAGATAAAACATATAAAAAAAGTAATATCTATCAATGTTTCCACCCATTCAATTAGATTCCACAATACTTCAAGAATCTACATAAAACAGACAAAAAAAAATCACCAAATTCCAAGAACCAAAAAAACCCTTATTCTCAAAATTGATGCTTTTCATTCGACAATTCAAAAGGAAATACAACCTAATCACTCAAATCCCTGAAATTCCATGTGCAAAAAACAAAAAGAAGTAGAAATTCAAGAAAGAAAAGGCTGAATCCTTAGACCTGTTCCATGGCGGTTTGGGCGGCGTTCATGAGCTTGGTAGCGAGGCCAAGCTTACGGTGAGTACGAAGGACAGCGAGAGAAGTGATATGACCATGACACTCGTTCGATTCTTCTTCCATTTTGGCCAAAACGTAACCGACAATTCGGCCGTTGTAATCTTCAGCGACATAGAGGAGATGCGGCCAAGAGAGGATGTGGTAAAAGTAATATTTCATCTGGTAATTTTCGGGCAAGCATAGCAAGTTGCATGCTTGCATCGCCAACAAGTCGTCCATGGTCGCCTTCCTTATGCACACCATGCTGGAGGAGATTCAGACGTCGTTAGGGTTTAGGTTTTGGCCTTGCCTGTAGGAAATGAGAAAAAATCTACTGCAAGGGAAGCTCCGAAGGTTAATTGATTAATTAATTAGATTTGGAATTTTTGGTTTGGGATCGTATCACATTGGGCTTGGGCTTTTATTTTTATAAGATGAGTGCAAATACAAATGATTTACCTACTATTTGAAATAAAATCTTAGTAAATAAATAAATAAATTAGAAAGTGCAGGCTTTTCCTGGAGTTACATACCATCATCATTATTGTTTTTTTTTAATATATATTAAAATAATAATTTTTAAATTTTATTTATTTATTTTTAACATTAATATATCAAAATAATTTAAAAATACTAAAAACAATAATTTTTAACCAGAAAGAAATTCATTTTTTTATTAAATGATGTTACAAACACTCTAACTAGTCAAAAGGGATGCACTGAATTACTTTAATTTACAGATAAAAATACTTGCACCACAAATCATCCCCGAAAACATTTAAGTTTTGAAACTGTTGGCCGGGAGGCATCCCCATCACTTTGGGATTTACCGGCAAGAAATTACTTGGACATATAAGAAAATTGCTCAAGAGCTGGCAAAGTAATTCATTCGCATCACTTAACTTTCCAGGACAGTCAACCTCCACATAAGCAAGCATTTCGTTCTTTGATGAGAAGCTGCTGGACAAAACGAGAGAATAATGATGGATCAGAGACCCCGGATTGCCTTTGACCATTTCCATTCACAGCATCAACACCCTTCTTCTTCTTCTTCTTCTTCTTTTGTCACTGTTTGTTCAACATTCATGTGAAGGCACTGTAGAATCATTCTTTGTCATTATCATTTGTCTGACTATACTGCTAGTTTAGTTCCCTTAAATTGTTGAATTTCCACATTCTGATGTTCTTGATGTTGTGTGTCGTGATGACCTTCTGCATCCCAACAGCCAAGCATGTGATAGGAGGTCGAACAGTTTTAGGGATTCTGTCAATGTTGTAATCGTTAGGAAGCCTCTTTCCTATCTTCCTTTCTATTACTCCATTAGTATACCCAGAACTTGTCGAGGTGCCATGGTCCATGACATAGCTTGAAAGGACTTCTCCAGTGTTCTGATCCAAAACACGCAGCACACCATCAATTCCACCAACTACCAGTGTTGAAGTGTCGCTACGCATGTGTTGCAAAGAATATACAACATTTGAACTCACTCGTGTTTTCCAAAGTTGTCTCATAGTCCTATAAGATGACAAAAAAAAAAAAGGAAAAAGAAAAGGCTCGATCAGTTGTTAGTGCTGGAAGGACACATAAAACTAGACAAAAACTGCAGGGCCCTTTGGACATGATGACAAGAGGACTGGAAACAAGGAGAAAGAATAAGGTCGTGTTACATTACTTCTAATAAATTCTCACATATAGTGGTAGAGAATTCCAACGCATCCATATGGTGGCTTTTAATTAAAGCCAACTCAATTTAGCGAATAAATTAAACAACATGCCAAAACCGACATGCCATGCAACAGATAAGGAGGGTTAGAATACATCTATGTTCATATATACATACAGAGAGAAGATTATAGATCCGGTCACACAGCCACCAGAAGTTCAGTATGGTTTATTGAGATGCTAAATAGTTAGAAAACTATCTTAACTCTGGCCACTATGTCCCTTTGCAAGGGCCGAGCAAGTAGGAGGGGTATCAAGGATACAAATGCTTGGTGTTCCCCATCTTTTGCTAGCATCTTTGATCAATTGTGTTCTCACACTTTCACACAATTGTGCTTTTTTGGGCAAAGTAGTACAAGTTAACGTTGATAATATAAAATACCATCAGAACATATTTGGGCAACACCAGAGAATGAGTGTGATTTGGTTACCTAAGGTCCCAACAAGAAGCATATCCAGCAGTAGTTCCAGCAAACACTAGATGAGAAACAGGGTTGAAACACAAAGTCTTTATGCCTGTCAGAAGAAGTTGAATCAGAATAACACAATGTCAATGGGATGCCCAGAGGCCAATCTACTGTTTCTCACCCTGGCAGAAAACACAAAATGAACCAACACTCTAAAACTGTACGCTACCATAAGTGCAACATTACAGTAAAAGAGAAATTGTTAAGGATACAAAATGCATGACCAGAATGCAAATTTACTCGGAGCAACAGAACCAATACATTACAAACCTGTGGAATCAGTGGGTCTCAGAGTAGCCACCCTCTGGTCAGATGAAAGACCAGATACTGTGATTCTTCCTAAAGAGGAACCACTAATAATTAATTGATCTTCACTTAAAGATAAACAAGTCACAGGTTCAGTGTGCATCCTGCAAAGAGGAGATTAAAATATAAGAAAATGCAAGAGATCATTGTTCCAAAAAAACAAACCACCGAAAAATGGACACGGTCATGGCTAACTGCTCAAGAATGACCTAAGCCTGCCCGCTGGAATTTCAAGGAGTAATGGAAACAAAAAGAAGATAACAGGAAAAAAAAAGTTCCCAGCACATACCTAACGATTCGAGAACATTTCTTACTGTACATGTCAAACACACGAGCTGTCCCATCTTCACATCCAACCACAGCCTCTGGATCAAAGTAACTTTAAGGAGAGAAGGGACCAAATTATTTTTCCACCCACACAAATAAAAAAGAAAGAAAGCTTTAATTCTAAAACATTCAAGCAAACCAGCTTGCAATCACCTAAATGGAATTGCAAAGATGAAATAAAAGAACATTTAAGGAGAAGTAATAAATGATATATTCATTAATTAAATGGAAATTTGTAATCAAATTAGTGCAACATTGTGCTATTACACTTGTCTGTGATCGAGATTGGAATTACTATGAGCAACAAGGATGTCAACAAAGAAGAGAAAAGAGAACATTCAATGCCCTCTCGCTTCTATAAAAGAGGAGAGCTGTTATATGAACAGTGCACTTCTCACCTAAGGTAAACTTGTTAACTCATACCCAGTAACTAAAGGAGAATTTGAAATGAAACAAAGAATCAGTATTAGTTGGCCTACATACCGCATGCATGAACCCTTCATGAATTGGCCTTCACGTGAGGGAAATATACTTCTCTGCCCATTGCGCCTCCATATGCATATCCGTGTACCAACCAAACCAACAATCTAAAATATAATTGAAGATGTTCAGAAGATGTTTATCCAGTTGTGAATGTTGAATCATGATTTGTTTTCATAATCAGTATCATTTATAAAAATGCAAAACAAAGGTGTATTAACAGATGATATCCATCACTGCTATCTGGTGAACTATGTCAATATAAGGAATGACTGCCTTTTTCTTCAGTGTCATGCACTTGAATAAAAACAGGTTGGGCAAATAAGATTCCATAAACATAAGATACTTGAAGGAATGACATGCTTCTACAAGTTACCTTGCTCTCATCAAAATCAAAGTCAACCAGAGGGACTCCATCTGGAATGGAATATTCTTCTATGCATTTGTAGCTTTCTAGTGACCAGAGACGCATAACCTGGTATCATTGCTATGCAAAATGTTAGCAAAATTGACTAGTGCAGCAGCATCCCTTATTCAGGGAAACAAGGAATGGGCACCACATGAATGATGACAACAGAATAATTTTTTTAGAAATTTACATCCAGTCAATCATTTAAGACATGAAAAATGAAATATTGAACTTTGCATGCTCTTTGAAGATCATAAGGTACTTCACCATATTGTTATCATTACTTTCAAGATCATTACAGCTAGCCCTACATGTAAATAAAATCAAAAGAAAAAATAAAGCCCAAATAGATGTGTCATCTAGTCGAACATCATCCTATAAGTTGGCAGGGAGAGACCAGACCTTATCACCAACACCGGTAAGAACCAAGCCCCTATTCATACGGCACTGGTCAACCCTGATAAAAACCAAAGTTAGAAAACACCACACACACAATCACTCAAATATCCATTCATAAAAAATAAAATAAAAAATCTTTACAGCTTTCAGGATCTAATAAAATATTTCATGTTTTCATCCCAGTAAAAAGACATGATTAAAGAAGAAAATAAAAAAGGGATATGCAGTGTACCCAAGAGAATGCCCTTTCCATTGATCAATGTGAAGAGAACCTTGTACTAAAGATTGCCTTTGGTGCTCTACTGCTAACTCTTCCAGATACACATTCAATGATTCCTCTGAAAAATCACTCCTGCTACTTCTTCTTTGTTGCTTCAGGTAGAGTAATTGCAGCAACTTCGATCTTTTTATGATCTCATTCCTTCAATTGCACACACAAGCACACGGAATGACTTCGGTAGAGAAGCAGAGAGTTTCGTATTTACAATTATATGAAATAGAGAGTGAGAGGCGCATGTAAGTTGTAAATAATACCAGAATTTGCAAACGGCAGAGGAGCGAACGACATCGAAGAGATTGAGGTAGGAGAATATGATACAGAGTGTGTCATGTTCCAGCGACCTTATTGATGTCGGAGTTGTCGAGCTCCTCTTCTTCGGCGGAGACCGTTTGCTTTCTGGTGGCGGGCCCATCCTCTTCTGGCGGTAGCAACTCGAGCTTTGCACCACGAGAGGTGGAGAAGAGATATACAAGTCACCACCAGCTAATTCTAACGCCAGTCTTTCAAAAGAAAACACGAGAAGATCCTATTTCAAACGACCTGTAGTTTTAATAGCATTAATCAGCGTGTTTGAAACCCTCTTAGATTAGATTTATAGAGGTTTTAATAAAATATCATAAACCTTTCCAGTTTCAATAACTAAATTTTAAATAATATTAAATTCTTGAAAAATAATATAAAATTAAAAGACTGGTGTTAGAGAAAAGATGCGGAGAGTATTACAGAAAAATAAATTGAATTCAATGTAAATTGAATTTATTAATTAATTGAATTCAAATTAAATAATATAGTTAAATTAAACTATAATAAAGACGTATTTTAAATAGTCGAGAAAAGATATTATTTGAATTTTTTTTGAGAATTGAGATACGTTGAGAGGTATGATTATGCCCTTAAGATGCGTTATTGAAGAGATATTTACTGCTTTAAATATCATTGTGTCATGCTATCGGACTAATATTTGTACATTGAATTAAATTATTTTCTAATAAGGTCTTAAACAGACTACTAATACTGAGATTACTATATATAATGTATAAAGATTGAATTTGGATATGAACTGTGTCACTGTAAAAATTGCCTTCTTTTTGGTGACGGGGTTACTTTTGTGATTTCAAAGATATTTATTTGCTGAAATGAATTAACTCTTCAGACCGTACGTTACACTATACTTTGTCAATGAAAGTCAGCGGGATGGATCTAATTACGTTTTTAAAATCACGTGTTAAATTTTCAATTACTTAAATTAAAATTAAAAGAAAACTAAATTGGTCAGTATTTGGAAAAAAGAACTCATATTTTACCAGATTCGCATGGTAAATTAATCATCTTCCTCTAACCTGGTTTAAGTGGTATTACAATATTTTTTACAGCATCAATTTACAAATTGACAGGGGCATCTCAACCATAAATTACTAAATAGCTTTTAATTACAAAATTTATTCAACTCGCCACAAAAAGGCTTTTTTCAGGGTTTGATTTTTAACTTGAAAATTAAAATGACTAACTTTTTTCTTAAAATCAAGTTTTATCATGGTTGCACCTAGGGGTTTTTTGTTTTTTTTTTAAAAAAAACATTATGACCTGGACTTTAGAGTAATTCAATGTTTAAAATAAATACAAATTATTATTAAAAACAAATGATAGTATATGCATAACCCATATCATTATATGAATGATGCTAATATTTTTTAAACAGTGTTTTCTTGAGAATAGAAATAACTAATTACAGTGTCATCCAAATCATAAATGATCAAACATTTCATGAAATACTGAATATATATTGACTCAAAAATATTTTGATGACAAATGAATCTCTCCTCTCTTTTCTATTTTATTTTCCCGATAATCATGTTCCTCTAACCAAAATTAAAAAGTGTCTTCTCGTTGTGGTTTTATTCTAATAATAATCTTGTTTTTCTGATTGGTTTTTTTAAAAATATTATTTTTTAAAGTTTTTTTTTTAATTTTCATCCTTGTTGTTTGGTTGGATTTGATTTTCATTTTAAATTTAGTTTTCGTTATTTTAGTTTTTATTTTTCATATTAATTTCTTAATTAATTCTGCTTTCAATTTCATCCATCATTATTTTATTTTATTTTAAATATCATGTTAAGTCCTTATTATTTTCTCTTTTTTGATTTTTTTTTAAAATTTTTTTATCTTTTTAATTTCATCATTTAATATTTAATTAAATAATAATTGAGTTTCATGTTTTTTTTATATGATAATTTTGGTTTCATAACTTAGATAAGAAATATTAGTTCAAATTTCATTCAATACATAATTTTACTTTTTTCTTACACTTATTTTTTATATATAATTTATTCTTTAACACTGTTTTCGATAAAGATAAAACTTTTTAAAAATTTTTTATCTTGCTTTGTACAATGATAATTAGACTTTATGAACTAGATTTATAAATTTTTCATACTAACTTAAATTTAATCAAGGTTTTTATATTATTATACTTTATTTTATTTTTATATCAAACATGATCTTTATTGTTTTAATAGCTCTTTATCTTTTTATGTTGGATCATTTTAAAAATTAATTTTTTTAAATTTATCATTTATTATTGAATTACTAGGAAGCAAGCTTTGTATTGTTTTTTGCAACATGGTGATTTTTATCTCATGATCTGGGTCATATATATAAAATGTTACTTTGAACTAAAATTATTTTTTATTTTTATTTTTGTATATTGATTTTATTTTTAAATTTTAGTCTTTAACATTAAATTTATTAGAGGTTAAACTTTTTTGTTAGTTGCTTTTTAGGATAAAAATCTTGCTTCATGACTTCGATTTTTTTGTTAATTTTATCATTTAAAATTGAGTTATTTTATAATTTAATTATATAATTTTTTTTCTATTATGTGTTATTTTTCTACATATTATCACTATCACCTATTAATACATTTTTTTTTTAATGATAAATTTAATTAAATGATTTTATTAGTCCTAATAAATTTATTTTGCTTTAAAACATGATAACAAGGCTTCAATACTATCATTTTTAAATCACAAAAAAAACAAACCAGCCAGCCACCGAGTACGATACACCGATCTAGTCTAAAAATATGATTTTTGTTTTTTTTTTTTCAAATTTACCTTTCTGGTTCGTGCAGGGCTGGGCCAGAACACCGTTTTTGGAAATTGCACTTCCCGTCCAGTGAGCGCTCTCCAGAGTCCAGACCCATTTTTGGTACTCTCCACGAAAAGGGCAAACAATATTTTTGACCATTCCGGATCCATCAATGTTACATTTCTACCCTCATAGTTTATAATTTCACAATATTACCTCTATACATATCGCAGTCTCAATTCACCCTTTATTACCAAGAGAAAAACTAACGAGAGCTCTTTAAAAACTATCTCAGTGCATTTATTAGATTCTTTTTATCACTGAATCTTATTAAAAAGAAATAAAATCAAGTATTTAAATATAAGTGAATTATATCAATTAAAATCATTAATTAGATACATGCTAAATATTTGCAAGTATTCACAAAAGTTTTAAGGAAAAAACCACATGGATTGACCAGGAAAAACACTTGGTCTTATCTTATTATTAACTAACAAAGCCTTACTTTTTTAAGATCTTATTTGTTTTTTCATGCTTTTCTTCTATTTTTCCTCTCAAACCCCGAAAATGCTATAATATCTCATCACAATGCTTAAAATGATAATAATAATAGACTAAAAAAGACAAATTAACAAGAGATTATTTAATGATTGGGGTTTATATTAGAACATTTTATAAATTATAAAGATTAATTTGGGAAAAGTTAAACTAACGGGGTCAAATCGAAAATTGGATGAATCAATAGTATCAAAATTGAAGTTTACCCGGGTTAAATGAACAATTTTTACGGACTGCTATACTTCCCTGCCCCCCCTCGTATCAACATACGTCCAACGCGCAAAAATTCAACCCTAAGGCCCCCTTTTCTCTCTCGCTCGCTCTAATGGCAGCAGAGCAAGATGACACCGTTTTTGACCAGGACCTAGAAGTTGACGACGAAGATGACGACGATCAATCTTCCCAATCTCAAAACGACGATCTTGAAGACGATCTGGAAATCGAAAACGATGACACCTTGCCCGAAAATGATGACGTCTTATCCGAAGAATTACTCGAAGACGATGACACCTCCACCTCCGCCGCTGTCACCACGGCCTCCATCCCCGCCGTCACCACGGCCTCCATCCCCGCCGACCACCGCCTCCATCCCCGCCGTCACAACCACCACCACCACCATGGTGGCCACTGATTCCACACTTGATGCATCAAAACGGCAACGCGTTTCCCCTGAAACGACAGTCCTCTCCCAAGACTCGAAAAAACCGCAATTTGATGACACCAGGCGGTTATTTCAACGATTGTGGACTGACGAAGATGAAATTGAACTCCTCCAAGGGTTTTTAGAATACACCACAAAAGGTACTGCTAATCATCACCATAACGACACTGCTTTATTCTATGATCAAATCAAATCGAAACTCCAACTCGATTTTAACAAGAATCAGCTCGTTGAGAAACTACGTCGTTTAAAGAAGAAGTATCGTAATGTTCTGAATAAGATAAATTCTGGCAAAGATTTTTGCTTTAAATCCCCACATGATCAGGCTACTTTTGAGATTTCGAGGAAGATCTGGAGTTCTACAGGAAAAATTGCGGGTTTTAGCAATGAAGATGGGAATAATTTGGATGATGATGATGGTGGAAACCCTAACTATAATAACCATACTGTGATGATGGATGGTGATGTTGTTGTTAAAATTGAGGATCATAAGTCTACTCCTAGATCAAGAAAGAGGTCAAGATCGCGATCTGTTGGTGTGAAGATGGAGGAGAATCGTGTGTTGAATGATGGGTTTGTAGGGAATGAGACTAATGTTACTGGGGGTGGGGGTGGGACTGGGAATGGGAATGTGTCGAGTGTAATTGAGGAGACGGTGAGGAGTTGCTTGTCGCCTTTATTTAAGGAGTTGTCGAGTAATATGGCGGGAGCAGGAATGGGTGGTGTTGGGAGGGGAGTTGGCAGGCTGGCGATGAATGCGACGCCATTGAGTTTTGGAGCGGGAGATGCGATGATGATGGATGAGAAGTGGAGGAAGCAACATATATTGGAGTTAGAGGTTTATTCCAAGCGGCTGGAGTTGTTGCAGGATCAGATTAGAGCACAATTGGATGAGTTGCGGTCGATGGGTGATTAGTTCGCCGATGACTGTTTGGGAATAAGAAGTTTTTTCTCTTGGTTATTGATTTAGGGTAGGGGAAGTAACTTTTTTTTTTTTTGGTTTTTTTGGGTCTCTTTTTCTTTGGTCTTATATAACTTTGATAAGATAGACGTTGAATAATGATTTCATAATTTGTTTAGTGATTCATAGTTTGTTCTACTGTAGATATGGTTTCATGCATAGATTGGAACGACTTTTTAGAATAAAAGATACAGGTTTTCTTCCTCTGCGAGTATTCATTTAGTTCTGAGCTTTTGTTGTGGTTTTATTTGTGATATTTTTTTTATTAGAATGCGTTGTGATGAAATATACCACCTCCCTGTGTACATTGAAGACTTCAAGGTGGTCATAGATGCATTTGACTGGTGATATATAGTATGTGCTTTCTAACTGGTGTAATATACTACCTGCTGGTTCTTTAACTTTTCCTTTCTTAACGAGGAAATTCACTATTCTGATTGGCTATAGTTACATGTAGTTTTTGCTTAAATCCAGTATCAACAATGATGGTAGATATTCACATTAATATTGTTGTCAATAATAACAATAGCCAGTCGGGGGATTCTCATGTGTCAACGATGTAAACGTTGAAGTTAACAAGCGCCTTGAGGATTGTCATCAATGGTTCTTCCAGAATGGCTATTTCTCCTCCTCCTCAGCCTCCTTTACACCAACCCCACAAGTAAGTTCATTGTTTAAAAAAATTACTTGCGTACATGATAGCTTCAGCTCCCCTTCTTTTCTCTCTCCTTCTCTTTTGATTTATAGTTGATTTTAAGGTCTTTGCCTTTTGAATTTAGCAGTGATTAAACTTGGTTGATAATGAAGAAGTTTTGAAAATTTTGGCAAGACATTGTCCAAGTTTTGGTCTCTGTTCAAACCGTTCTAGAAAAGCCATTAATTTGAACTTTATTTGTGTATTCACAGGTTGTAGAAAGGTGTCATAAATTCTTGATTGTTTTTCAAGTCAGCCATGTAAATTTAAAAAGGTAGTAATATTCTCTCCCTCCCTCCCTCCCTCTCAAACTTGTAAGCTTTTTGATCCAGGAGATTAAAGTAGTAATATTCTCTCTCTCCCTCCCTCCCTCTTAAACTTGTAAGCTTTTTGATCCAGGAGATTTTTTCCTAATGCGCAGCTTTATATTATTGAGCATAATTTTTGATCTGATTTGACCAGGGATTGAAGATTCTAGAAACTCTGTATCCTATATGGTTAAAATTTCACAGTAATCTGATAATGGGAAGGTCTTTCAATAATGCCCATAAGTTACTGTTTGGGATTTGTTATATTTTTCTAGTTGGTTTGTGATTCTTTTTACTATTAAGTTTAGCATTTTATTATTATTTTCCAGCTTTATTTAGGACAATTTTCCTTGTTTATTTATGACTTTTATTGCTTTTCTTTTATTTCAGGTTAGCTAGTTTGTTTAGGTTAGTTTTTGGGTTGATTAAAAGAGCTGTAAACCTCCTAGAGAGGTAAACTACTTGAAGAGAAAATATCTAGCAATAAAATATTGAATTAGTGTTTTAGTGATCTCTATTTGGCCTAATTTTGTGTTCTTGTGCTCGCTGTCTTTTTTGTATTGCTTCCTTCAACGTTACTCTTCCTGATTTCCAAGTTATCAATCTGAAATATGTTTGGGTTCCCCATTTTGAGACCAGTTGTCAGCAACATCATTGAAACTGGAAGGTACACCAACAAAATATCTCTGTTTCTGTTTGTCCTGATCATGATTGTTGCTGTTGGGCCAGTATTTTTTCTTTTATTCAAGGGAATTCAAGGAATCATCGAAGCTTCTGACAGTGATAGAGAAAAAGAGAGGAGGATGTTAAAGTTTTACCAACCATAAGTTGAAATAGTATTGCTACTATGCATTACTTTGTCATTTGTATAGCACTGGACAAAGGCAGTTAGATAATGATAATGACCCAGATTCATGCTCCTTTCATATTATCTCTTGATTTGCTTCCCAAGGCCCAGCACTGATGGTGCTGGAGTTTCTCTTACCGCTTTTTCAAGTGGCAATGGCTTATATGCTTCGTGAGTTACCAAAAAGCTTGGATATTGTTGCTAAACGATGATTAAATCGCTTGAACCTGCTTTGTAGTTGTATGATTTGACCCAACTCAGTTATCATTTGCTTGGAGTTGGATTATTGTGGATGTCTTTGTGGATTTTAGTTGTGATTGGAGCTTTGTTTATGACCTTTCCTCCTTTGAACATTATTGCATCGGTGTTGAGATTGGCTTGGACTGCACAAGTTATGAGGCATGTCATTAATTTGACAGTCAGTGAGGTAATTGCTCTGGATTATCTTTGAGTAATGCAATCTAGTACTGAATTTTTTTTAAGAGCTTTAACTGGAATCTTGGAAGCGCTTGTTTAGGTTCTATTTGTGCCTGCTATTGAAGAATTGATAATCATTTCTATTTGTGCCTGCTATTGAAGAATTGATAATCATCACTTGGGGTTTGATTTTGCGTGAGGGAGAGGATGAGTTCATGTTTGCTTGTGCTCATTGCTGTCTTGGAATTATGGAGTCTACTTTCAGACATGGCAATGATTAGGCCTTTGTACTGGTAATCTCTTTAAAACTGACCCCCAGCAATTTACTTACCTTTTGCTGTGTTGCATGCATGTAAGAAATACTAAACGTAGAAGCAGCACCAACTGTTCAATTTAAGGGGCTCCACTTGAGGTAAAACACACTTACAATCTGGCATTGCAAACCAAATCAGTTTTGCCAAGTTATTGCTCATTTATAAACAAACACTCATGGTGATATTTCCCGGTAGCTGAGTTACCTGCTTTTTGTATTATATATCAATGAATCATCTTCACTGGTTATGTAAGTCCGTTTCACGTTGTCTTTAGACTCGATTAATCAATGGCATATGGTCAACTTAGACTGATTGATCATTGCAACCATCATTGCAGATAGCTGCACATGGAAAAGGATTTGGGCAGGCATCACAAGACGCCAGACAACTCTTTGAAAGACAAGGAATGGAACCCATTGTTGACTCAGACATAACCCAGCTCAATTTGCTTCCTCACAGGAGTATGCAGTGGTTCTATTTGCGATATTGCTGTGGTTGCCTGGACTGCCAAAGGGCATCAAACCTTAACTGCCACTCTCTCGCTCCTGTCTTTTTTAACTGGATACCCCATGGTTGGTGGCTCTTATTTGACAAATATTAATTTATTTGTGATCTCGTGTTTAGATAATGTGATGAACTTGGACATTCTTAATCTTTGACAAATGAATCTTTTTCAATCAGCATGTTGATTAACACAATTCATTGTTTAATTTGATTTGTCTGACCCGGATTGTCATGGTTATAGTCGTGATAATAGATTGTTTGAATAAAACCATCAAAGATAATCAAAGCAGGATAAAATCCAGCGTTCCCACAACTCGAGTCAATTCCTGATGGGATTTTGACAGTGATGAATGGCTGTAAGAGCAGTCAGTGCCTTTTTGAAGAGTTGCCAATTAGTTGGTGTCCATTTCTCAATTCCATTCCAAGAGGGATGTTGCCCATCAATCTGAAGTCCTTAGCAATTTCATAGTGCGAAAATCTAATTGAAAGTAAACTAGAGAATCAGGTACCATTCTTCATCCTCTTACTTCAAAATCAATCTCTTATACGCTCCAACACCAGACTTCATTATTTATAAGCTTCTTGCACTCTGTAGTGTTTGAAGAACTAACTAAAAATTCAAGCTATTCATCAAGTGAATCAAGCTTAACAAACAGTTTAAAATAACATATATTCTGTATCTCCATACAGATTGTTAATTTATCTCCCAACAAATCTTCATCAAGAAGCTAGTCAGTATATTGTTTTCTCTTCAACATTTGCAAGCAAGTATATTGTTTTCTCTCGGACATGTATAACACTATATACTTTTTCCATAATAACCGTGGACTTGCTTTATCTATGATAATTTGATCACCTGTACCTACCTTATCTACTGGTACTTCTGAACCTCTATCTACACGTTCCTCTCTCGTGCAATTTTGAGTTAGTGTCTCAGTCAACTTTCTGGAATAAAAAGGCTCTCTTCATTCTGCATCAGGAATTGAAGGAGAGGCCTTCACATTCCTAATTACCCTAAGAAGGAAGGTAGAAGGCGAACTTTTTTTACAGCTAGGACAATATTGGAACTAAGCCAAAGCTGTGGACAATGACTTAAATGGCGAATACCCGGAAAATCTTTATTAAGAGTGCAGGCTCAAGGCATAAAGGCGTAAAGGCAATTCCTTATCATTCCTTATTATTTTTCATGATAAGACAGGTGAGAACCTGTTTTTTTTTTTTGGTGATTTGACTTTCATTCGAGGAACATTTAGCTGTTCGTGCCAATGATCATGGTATGGGGCCATAACTGGTGCTACTGTTACTCTCACACTTGATGTTTTCATTCGTAACTTTTGTTGTCATAGCAATGATATTCAATTGATTGTTTGATCCTAAAATTTTTCTGCGTTATTTATATTAAATGACATGGTCCCTGAGCACTTGGCTTACTGCGCAGGGATACCTGCATGCATGATTCACCTTCGATCATTCCTTTAATTGAAGAAGAAGTGGAGGCATTTCTGTTCCTGGCACTCTCTCTCAAGTTTTTCTGCTCTTTTTTTTCCTTTCATGTTTTAGCATTGAATTCTAAACCTTTGGAGTTCATGAATGTGAAAAAACTTTTATCCTTGCTTTGTCAAACATATTTGAACAGTACATCAAAAGCAAGCTCCATAGAAGCACATCTAATCTATAAGAGGAGACTGTCGTCATGCTATTGAGGGGAGTAGAGAGCCCAGAACTCACAAAAAAGAGAAGTTATCATAGACTAGAGGATGAAGATTTGAGCCCATTTTCTAACGCTCCAAACAGTATTTTCAAATTTTATATTCTACTAGTTTCACTTAGTAAAAAAAAAGGCCGAAGCCAACTTAAAAGTCTTCAACCAAGGATAAGGCTAGTTGGTAAATAAAATGATTTGAAAAAAAAAAATTATTCGCAAATAATATGCTTTCTCATGTCTCTGCTTGGTTTTTTTTTTTTTTTTTAATGCGAGAAAGCCCGACGAAAACCGCACATTGATTTGGCATGAATATGATAGTTTAAGGAATCAAAATAAGAAAATTAAAAAGTTATGGATCAAGAAGAACTTGACCAATAAGTCTGGGTCATTTTACCAATTAGCCCCAGATAAATACAGGGTGGCTGAACCATTCCTTACGTTCTAGCTTGACACCACTCAAATGGTTTGAAGTTGATGTACGAGGTCTCACTTCTCAAGGCCCAAGCCAATCGACAGGCTTGACATTGACTTAAAGCAGCTTTGCCTACCGTTCAACTAACAAATCCATAAATCCCAAATTCGCTGGCTGCCAATCGTGTGTGTTCTTTGACGGAGTCAGAAATCATGTTTCGATCACCATTTTTTATGTGCTGCTTCGTTGCCATCTCTCTTATCTTTGTGCAGCCAGTTGGCCTTGTGTGGACTTTGAACTAACGACAATTCACAAGGCCCCCATCATAATGTAATGTAAATTAGGAATATATATATCATCAAAGATGTGATTTGATACATCTTTGTTTGTTAGACATGGATGTTAACGAGCTGTGAGCCTTCAAATTCCTCAGCATTCCACATGTTATTAAGAAAGTATTAATATGAATGAATTTTTGTTTTCACTTTGACGAATCACTTGTTCTTACCTCAAGTAATTATTTAGCTGCAATTGCCGACTGAGTTAAGATCTGTTTGTATCATTAATTATAATAAGTGTCGATTAATGTGCCTTTTAATTATCTGATTTCATATATACATATTTCACTTTATACAACCATAATAATTATTACCAATTTTATTGCACACACATATAAAATCTGATTTTAACCTGACAAGCTCTAGTGTGGGGGGATAAAATCCCTATAGAAAAGAGGCTTCATATCACCATATATTAAAAAATTGTCATTTTGCTCGGATTGCGACTTTTAGTGCTTCACAGTTATCATTATACGAAATTACCAGAGCATGGATTTTTGTGTATGGATCAATTACAGATAGTGGATATTATGCACCAACAAGTTGATGTAAAAGTTTCTCCAACTTCAACGAGTTGGAGAGGGAGTTATTTAACGATTTGATGACAATTCTTCTGAAGACGGTAACGAATCCATGAATATTTTTCCCCCCTTATATATATATATATATAGAGAGAGAGAGAGAGAGAGACCAAACATAATGATTTAAGTTTGTCTCAGTTGTTATCGATATAGAGGTTGACTTGTTTGTTTATTTACTTAGGATGCTCGTCAATTCTGGCTATATTTGTATATGGATCCAAGTGTTTATCTGGGATAGAAATTTTAAATCTAAGGGTTGATGAAATCTCAGGTTTAAGCTGATATATTTCATAAGCTAAGTCCTCATTTTTCATAAATATACGGCGGCTAGTCCTTGACTTAGATTCTATTTTGTGCTGTAGTTGAACTGATTTTTTATTAAATTTTAAATTTTATGTTTTAAATTAATTTTTTAGTGTTTTTGTATTGTTTTAATAGGCCGTTGATATAAAAAATAAATTTTAAAAAATAAAAATAATAATAATTAATTTCCTAATAAAAGCTACTTTAAAAAATAACATTTATTTCACTGTCAATAAGCCTAAAACCTAATATCAGGGGTCGAGGTTTTCTTTCAAAAGATACATAAATGGAGATGATCCCACAAGTACATGTTTCGTAGTGCCCCGCATGATGTACACTATTGGATTCTACTTGTATTTAACATTTTTTGTTTATTTCTGAAAGGTAGGTTAAAATATTTACTGAATCATAGTTTTTTATACTTAGATTTTAATATTTTATAGAACTTAAAAAAACTATAATTAAATTAGTCTCTTGCATTTTTGAAAACATATAAATAAATTTCAACCACAATAAATTAAAACTACCCACACATAAATAATCTTTCAGTATCTAGTGATTGGTAATATGAATATGAAGCTCAAATATATTTACCAATTATTAAAGCTAGTAAAAATAACAAATGCTAAATATCCTGTTATTTCATATATATTTAACATCGATCGTTAATTTCTTTGTCTAGTTTGTTTCTACTAGGTAACTGTTACTTATATATATATATATATAAATATAATGTTTAGTATTATTAATAAAAAATAAAATAAAATTTGAGCAACGTAACCTGAAAGCAACCGTACGTGTCGTGGGAGAAGAGACTTTGAAACACCTGCCACTTGAGAAAGATAGGTTTTCATGGCATGCTACAAGTACAAAATCAGAAACCCTAATTGTATCCGAAACGCCACTTAACCCAGACCGCAAGTATAGTTACCCTACCGCATTAATCAGTGGTAAAGACTTTTCAAATTAAAGTTGGAACTGAATTGCGGTAATTTTTCTACAAATTCAGCCAAGACTTCTTGGAATTATTGATTCCTCATCATTTCATTTACATTTTTATGAGCGACCAAAACGCGTTTTGAGTGATATAACACAAGGGTTTCGCAGCAAGATCGAAGCTACGTGCCCTCTCTCTCTCTCTCTCTCTCTCTCTCGCTCTCTCTCAAATGTATATGACTTCACATATCAAGCAGGACCCATCTGAGTAGTCAATCCTCTTTCAGCGGACTTTTCCGACCCTACCAAGTTCATTTTCTTCTTGCTTCTAACAAACCAAAAATCCTCTCAGCTTCCCTTCATTTTCTAGTCCCAGAAAAGTTGCCTTTAGACACAAAAAATTAAGATGTTCAAGAGAAACAACTCGCAGTTGATCAAAGCTTCAAAACAAAACACGACCACACACCGTCAAGGGAAATTGATCTGTTGCTGTTTGTTGAAACCGCCAAGTTCTGATATGGATACCAAGAATGAGGAAATTAGTACAAGATCCAGAGATTTGAGAAACAGTTGTGGAGAGAGGTATCATAGATCAGGAGGGAAAATAACCCCTACAACTTCTATACTTGATGGATCTAATGTTTATGGCAGAGAGAAGGACATAGAGGTCGTTCTTGGATGGTTACTGAAGGGAGAAGCAGCAACCAATGGTAGGGTTTTTGTGGTAGCTATAGGTGGGAAGGAAGGGGTCGGCAAGACCACTCTAGCTCAGCTTGTGTACAATAATGACACAGTGGTCAACGCTTTTGATTTGAGAGCTTGGGTTTTTGATAATTCAAAAGACTTTGATGTTGTGAGCATAACAAGAACAATCCTGCTGAGCGTTACTGACGCTTGCAATTGTAGTGATAATTTGAATTTGCTTCAGGTGAGGCTAAGAGAGAAACTTTCTGGAAAGAGCTGTTTAATTGTGCTAGATCATGTTTGCGATCTGGACTATCAACGATGGGATCTTCTATGCCAACCCTTCGCAGGTTCTGAAGTTAAAATAGTTGTGACCACGCGAAACAACAGCATCCCATCAATCATGGCTGCCGTCTCCACTCACCATCTAGAGGTGTTAACAGATGTCGATTGTCTGTCAATGCTTGTAGACCATGCGAAGGCAAAATCAAAGTTTGACACAGACCCAAAGCTTCAAGCAATTATGGAAAAAATAGCCAGAAAATGTAAAGGCTTACCACAGGCTGCAAAACATTTTGGGGGCAGGCTGCTTTCTACTCACTATACCGAATGGGAGAAGATATATATGAAATTGTGAGATATACGAGGACAAGTGGTAAACAACGGGTAATTAAGATCAGTAAAAGGTAGGTAATTATTTGTAATAGCATAATTAATTAAGCAGTATTTCCTTAAACAAATCTGGGGCTCTTGATTAACCAGCTAGCACAGGCATCATTAACAATTGAAGGAGGACCTTATGCAAATTTCAGGAGCCAGTATGCACATACCAGAAATAGATTTCGTTAATTTCCGTGCTTGCACTTTCCTATTTAGTTTTACAGGCACAATTTGTTCATTTCTACTGCTAGTAGCCTTTTTTTCTTGTATGATAATCTGCACTAAGAAATAAATTAATGGTGGAATATCCTAGCTTCTAATTTATTGTTACTGCTTTACTGCTAACATATTGTTATTTCTATTAGTTTGCACCAAATTGATGGTACTGAGGTGAAAAGCAACCCACCTCATGATTTGAGCAGTCTTTACCTCTTTGGACAACTCACTTCATGTATCCTAGGGCGGAAAGAAACCATATTGCATGACTTTGGGATTGGATCATCTTCTCTCCCATTTAAAGGAGATCACTTCTGCAATTGTTCCACCTCTCAAAAGGACTGACAATTTGACAAGGATGATTTAGTTATGTTGTGGATATAGGCCGAGGGTTTTTTACTGTCACCAATGGATGTTTTTGTTCAAGTCATGATTCTTTCAGGTATCAAGTGCTCCCTGTACATCAACAATTGTGGGTTCTAAGTTCTAATTAACCAGCCTCCTCGGTGGTCTTGCTAAATTTTGACTGGCAACATAAAGTTTTATCCCAATACTGAAGATGATGTGTTAGGTAGGTTTTCTATACATAGAAAGTCTTGCATAGTTTTCTATTTTTCGTTCATCCATTCATCACAATGGGCAAATAAATAAGGCCTCACAACTATTTTGACTGCTTCTATAAGCAGAAAGAATTGTAGTCTCCATGATGGCATTATTCAGGCTTGATTGGTGGTAGGGGTTGTAGCTATATAGGTTCAGGTTTGTGATAAGATTTATTAGTTTACATATATAGATGGATATATCATTTCTTGAACACAGGCATAGTCTTGGCTGTTCATAGAGCATATCTGCACTACCTAAGTTTAGGGTTAATTATTTTATGAAGTATATATGTCTCAGAAATTAGTTCTATGTATATGTTTCCAATAAGATCAGTTTCCTCCTGTTGGTGATCATGCACGCATAGTACTGATCAGAACATGGACCAGTAGTTTTTTTTTATAAGCCAAATTCTTTTAAAACAACTGGACGAAGGATGGTTAGTGACTGGAGCAATGAACAACTGGTCCATATTGTTCTTTACTTATGTGGTTACTGGAAGGAATTTGGCAACAGATTGTTCAGTTTGTGGCAGCAGTAGGATGGTTAGTGACGGGGGCAATGAGTTTTGCTGGACGAAGAAACACTTGCAGAAGCAAGTTTTGCAGTCTACTGTCACGAGACTTGCCTAGTGCATTTTGGTGTTCCTTTGTTCTTGCTGCTTCTCGTTTTATGGTTATTTTAACTGTTGCAACGAAGCCTGGTCATTAATTAAGAATTAAGAAAAACTCTAAAAACCATGGGAAAATGTACGGTCCTCCATACCACTGTTAGACAAGGAATATGTCCTTTTTTTTTTTAGTACACTCTTGTAACCTCATGACAATTAAAGCATATTTATTAAAAAAATCAAGATTCAAAGAAAATGGACTAAAATAACAAAAATAGAAAAAACAAATGTTTTTATAAACTTAGGACTAAACATAAAATGATTGGTCTTTTAATTTTTCAAATTATAAAATTTCAGTTATTTATAATTAATGAAATTCAATTTTAGTTTTAAATTTTATTTTTCTTATTTTTTGAATCTTAGTTTGATAGATGAGAGATAAAATGTTCGGATTTAAGTGATCGAGATAGAAAGTCTTAGTTGAGACGGATTCCAACCATAAAACAAGTGGTTTTTATGTCAATGAGTTTCTTTTGATGATAAAAGTTTATACAAAGCGTTTTTCCCCCTTAAACTTGTTTCAAATGATAGATCTGAAATAAAAAATAATTTTTATTTTAGGTTGATTATAGATTTTTGAGTCGATTTTTAGGTTGTTAGAGACTCTGAATATATTTTACAAAGTGTTTAAGGTGTTCTTTAAGTTTTTTTTTTTTTTATATTGAAATATGATTGAAAATGAGTTTCTCTTGGTCTGGAATAAACCTGAAATTTAGATTGTGCAAGTAAAGTGTAGTCTATTATTTTTTTTCAAAGCATCAAGGAGCTACCCTTAAAAAAATTAAAAGAAGTGTCACGCAAGTGGTCTCCTCTAAGCCATGTTTTTAATTTTTTTTAACTAAATACTAGGTATGCAATCATCTAAATAAATGTATCGACAACCATTTATGTAAATAAAAAAAGTCGCTAACAATAACCAATAAACAAACTATAAAAATAAGACTTTTATTTGATTGTGTTTACTAAATTTATTTATTTAAATAAATAAAAGATAAATCAACTCTAAAAAACTCATGGCTTAAACAAATGAAACTAATTGAATAAACTCACACCATAAAAAATATTATGTAAGGCCAAACACAACAACAAAATATAAGGAATGTACATCTACCAATATGATGGAAAGATATAAAAAAATCTTGAGTGAACCCAATAACCAACCCATGTTAACAAATCAAACACATGATCAAGGATATGAAATTGGGATGACCTTATAAATAACAAATAAAAAAAATACCAAAAAAAATCATATTTGAAAAAAATTCTTTTAAAAATACACTAAAGTTAACTCGGTCTAATCTTTAAAATCTATGACCTGAGTTATGAGACCGGTATGACCCAATTAATGACAAGTCCAAAAAAACAAAGAAGCAATATTCATAATCAAATAAATATTGAAGAATGAAATTAAAAAAATAGTCAATAAAAAAATAATGCAAAACAAAACAAATAGCAGTTAAAATAATTAGAACTAAATTCAACATAAAATTAAATGTTTAGGGATGAAATTGAAAAGGAAAAACTAATTAAGAAAATGATTAAAAAAAAGTAATTAATTAAAATAATTAGGACCAAATTTGACATCAAAATTAAATGAAAATAAATGCTTAGGGATGGATTTAAAAAAAATCAATAAAGAAAATGATTCAAAATAATAAAAAAATAACAATTAAAAGAATAAGGACCGAGTTTCAAAAAATTTAAAAAATCAAAATACCAAGGATGAAATCAAAAATAAAATCCAATTAGGAATAATAATTATAAATAAAAAAATTAAAATTAAAAAAAGAATGGCCAAATCAAAAGAAAAAAGATATTGAAGGTTTGATATAATTTTTTACATGGCCAACAAGCAATCCGAGAAAAAAAAGAAGGAAAGGAAAGAAATAAAGAAAAGCAAACTTGCTCTAAATCAGACCCACCCACCACATATGTGCTACCTATGGAGAAAAAGGATGCTAAGATGAATCTAATGATGCGGTGAAATCACCATTTTAATTCCTCAAAGCCAATTGCATGCGTTGCTCAAAAACATCTAACGCATGCAAGACACTCATCAATAATTTCTAATTCTCTCTCGTTTTTTTATTTGTACAAAAGCAAAAATGCTCCTATTGCTAAACAATACTAATACAAAAACCATTATAAAATTACAACCAACCCATTGAAGTCAAGGCTAAAAAATTTGAATGGCAAAGATAATGGAGTAATCATACTGTTCATTAATTTGTAAAAAAATAAAAATACCCTTAGGACTAAACAAAAATAATAAAAAATTATATGAAATTACAATCAATTCCCTAAAAGCCAGGGCTAAAAATTTTTAATGGTAAGGACAATTGAGTAATTCAACGATTCATTAAAACAAATAAAAGTTACTATACAGCCACTAGATTAAAGTTTTTTACTATTAACTTTTTCAAGGGCATTATGATAATTGTACTATTATAAAAATTGAAAAGACATTATTAACCTTAAATAAATAAATAAATAATGATAAATTAACCATGTAAAAAGATTATTTTACCCTTTAAACAAAGCCTTATAAATAAAAAAATGAAAAATAAAAAGATACTTACACTTTAACCCCCGAGATATATTTTACTGTAAATTCAATTAACTTAAAACACTTGCACAGTTTATATTTTTTTTAATTATAATTAATAGCCATGCTTCTCTCTCTCTCTCAATTTCTTATTATTTGCACATATGACTCTTGTTATCCTATATATATAATTTTTAATAATTTATTCCTTATGGTGCTCAAACATTTATCTCTAAGGATCTAGTACTTGTAGAGAATCATAACCCAAACACTCCTGCCTGTATAAAATCATGCTCGAAGTTTGTGTCCATCGCTTAGGCTAGACTTTTATCGTCACTCAGACATCTAGTACTTTAGGGTTGTAAAGCTTTTAAATCTCTCCCTGATGGTATGAGCAAGTTTCGTCTTAAAGACTTGGAGATAGAAGAGTGTCCTTTGCTCAAATGCTTTCCAGAAGGGATCTTACATCTAACGTTAAAAAGGTTGAAGATTCAATACCTTACAAAATTATAGTCTCTATATGAGGGGATGATGTACAATGAAAATCTCTCCCCGACACCTTGGATCATTTTAAGAACTTGGAGACTATTAGTTGTCCATCTATCGCATCTTTTATGGCTTGGAAATTAGCAAGTCAACTCAAGACGCTGAGAATTTAGGATCGTTTCCAATTGAAGCATTTCAAACTGCGAAGCTATGACAAGCTTTCCCTAATGTCTTAAAAACTTCAAGCATCTTATTGAATTAAATTTAAGCAATTGTTCTGATCTCAAGTGCTGTTCAGGAGTCAGCCTTTTCCTCCATAAACTTAGAATGATGAATATATATAACTACAAAAAGCTCAAGTCTCTGCCCAGTGAGATGCGAAAACTCACATCTCTGTAGGAATTGATAATTTGTAGTTGCCCGGCTCTTGAATCCTTTTCTAATGACAATCTACTAGTGG